CTGGCGGGTCGGCCGCGGGAACCGCCGAGCCGGCCGAGGGGTGTGAAGTTGGTCCCGCCCCGCGGAGCAGGCAAACTCTTCCTGCCGCGGTGGGCCTGCTAAAGCTTCCTTGAGCCGAACCCCCGTGACTTGGAAAGGGCAGCTAGGGAGTTGGTGGACGGAGTTGGCAAGGAGAGCGTGAGATCGCCTAGCGAAGTCAGAAAAGAGGACTGGGTTGAAGTCGACCAAGACCGAGGAGGCCGTGCAGTGTAAAACCGGGCGTCCTGGTCGAGCGACCGAGCCCGAGTGCAGGGCTTAGGGGGAGGTGCGGGACGCGCCGCACCCAGGTGATCTTGGACTTGTGGAAGGAGCTACCTAGCTGGGAGCAGATAAGAAACAACTGTTAAGACCATCTCAAAAACCATGATGCCCTCCACTTGCCATCTGTGTGACTGGACGCGTTCTTTAACCTCCCTGAGCCTCATTCTCCTGAGGCTCATGGTGTTGACGGTGAAATGACTTTGATATATGCCGAGCTCTTACAGCCTTGCCCTTAGAACTATGCTGTCTAATCATTACTTGTTTTTTAAATTTAATGAGTGCTTAATGTTAATATTAGTGAATATCAGTGGGTCGAGTCTGTCCAAGAGACTTTCCATGAGAGCCCGGAAGAAGTAAAGATCAATCTTGTAAAAGATCTATAGAGACTTCATACGTGGATTTGGTGGAATTTGATTTAAAGCTTTAAAAAAATACCAGTAGGTATAGATGTCATTCAGTCACCCAGTAAGTGTTTCCTGATCATTTGCGTGTTATGTGCCAGCTGTCGTTCAGGCTCTGAAAATTTCTCATTCAGTTCACAGTCTGTTAAGGGAGCAAAGCCAGCAACCACTCAGGGGAGAGGGTTTCCCATGCGCGGGAAGAGAGGGGAGGGGAGGTGATGTAGCAGAGGCCAAAGCGCGCGTGAGGGGGGGGCGCTGAGGAAATACTGGGGCTTGGGAGGTAAAGGGAGTTTAGGGGTGAGGGGCTACCTCGTGGGCAACCTCACGTCGGCGAATAAGGTATTTACCACAGTGACGTGGGAAGGAACCATTGTAGATTGTTAAAAAGCTCTGTAACATGGCCGAACTTGAGTTTTTGGATAGCAGCTGGGGAGAAGATAAAGTAACAGTAATTCCTATTTATTGATGGCCTACTGTGGGCACAGATGGTTTTGAGTACTTTGTAACCATCTTGCATGGTAGATACTATTGTTATAGGCTCTCATTTACAGTTGAGGAAACAGGGAGATTAGTTTGTACCCCTGAGGTGGGATTCTGACCCAGTGCCAGCACCTTCGCTGCTAGACTGTCAGCCTCTTACTTGAGCCTGACTTCTACTTTCAGACGGGGCAAAGCGTTAAGAGGACCACACGCCGCAGTCAGGTGCACAGCCTGTAACGAAGCCGTGCGTTTTGTGCATAAACTTCACGTAAATTCTTTTTTTAGCTGTCCTTAGGAGGAAAAAGAAAATCAGACTCTATTCTATTTTTACTTTTTTATTGCAAAAGAACATAACAGCAATCTCAAAAAGTACATACAGTTAGTTTCACTTTTATTGGACAAAATATGATGTTTTCCACTCAATTTAAAACTCAAGCGATTGGAATTTATGACCGGAGTGTATTTTCTTTCGCTTCACCTTTGGCCTCTCCAGGCAGGTACTCCGCATTCCCAGGGCGTGCTAGTTCTCGCTGGTGAAGTGGGGTCCTCCCTTGCCCACATGAGCTTTCCAGGTCTTAGCTAGCCGGGCCCTGGCCGTTCAGGAAGCAAATTGATTTGTGGGGAGGGTGTGTTTAAACAAAGTACAGGGAAAGCGATTCTCTGCAGAAGGAATTTTTTTTTTCTAAAAATACATCTAACTTATCTGCTGTTACCCTAGCACATGCCATCTTGATATAGAGAAATGCCTCCGTGCCTCATCACTGATGTCATTACACTCCTGATTAAGTAAACCGGGACAATTAAAAAAGAAAAAAAGCTCTGGGCAGTTGCTGACAGTGACCTTTTCAGACTGAAAAGCTGGTCTTTCCGGTTCTCCTTTTTGCTTCCTCTTGCTGGGTGTCTGAATCAGAGAAAGATGCCTTTTGCTCGGTGGGCATTGTTAGCTGAGGCTCCTCTACCCGGAGGGCAGCCGGCTGAGAGCCTGCATTTAGTGGGCGCTCACAGCGTGTGCTGAATTAAGTTGTTCCGAGGTTTGTTTACCCTGGGGAGTGTTGCTGGCTCTGTAGTGAGTGGGTGACTTTCTGGCCTGTGGGGGCGGGGGGGGCGAGTCCATCTTTCATTATCTGCAGTTTCGTGACTCATTTGCCCCATGTGCCTGCAGATTGCAGATGTCAAGCCGGTCTCCCCATAACCCATCTTGGTCTGTGCTAACCTTTACAACTTGGGATGTACTGAGTAGTTTTTCTCTCCTTAAAATATCAGGGTGAATTTTTTTTTTTTTTTTTTTTTTTTAAACAAAACAACTCACAGGCAAGGGCCTAACCTCTCTTTTTTTGTTTTATTTATTTATTTATTTATTTTTCCGGTACTGGGAATCGAACTCACGACGTCGCGCTTGCCAGGCAGGTACTATGCAACTGAGCTCAACCCCAGCCCCAAGGGCCTAATCTCACCTAAACTGCTGAACACAATAAGAAATGTTCCAGTCAGACAAGCTTTTGCCCTTCTTTCTGTAACTTACAAATTGTGTGGTTTTGCAGATTAGGCAACTTCTTCAATTAGGTGAATGGTTTGCATTTGCAGAGCAAAATGTATGTGATTGGCTTTTTAAAAAAAATGACTCAGGTATGTACTAGAGCTTGGAAATTTCTGATAAGGGAAATTTGAAGATGATTGTGAGGCCCCCTGGTAATTACTCTAGCTTTATAAAGTACTTCTGTTTCTGAGGGAATTTCCACGTTCAAATTTCTTTTGAATATTTATGAGTCGTTTAATTCATTCTTGAACAAGCACTGTGGACTTAGTACCGCACAGAGTAGGTCTGTATATTTTTGCATTATTTTTATATCCGTACTTAACTGACGTTTCCCTAGCGCTCACCTTTTGCTAGGGTGCAGTTCTAACCACTTTACATGTTTTCATTCTTTGAATCCCCGTACTGTCTTTTCTAGGGTCTACAGATGATAAAACTGAAGTACAGAGAGGCCAAGCTCCCAGTTGTGCCTGTGTAATTCCTCCTTTTAGCGAAGGCCCATCTTGCTTTACGTGAACAGACTGTGGCTGAAGTGATAGCATGTCCTGTGAGATACGGTTACAAAAAGACTATGATTTCTCTCTTGCTCTGTCTCCTTTTCACTGTCTTATTCAGCATAAGCTGCTGTAATGCCATAAATTGGGTGACATAAACAGCATTTATTTCACACAGTTGTGGAAGACTGGGAAATTCAAGATCAAGGTGCCACATATTCAACATCTTGTTTGTGTGTGGTTCCTAGATAGCAGTGTTTTTGTTGTGTCCTCATATAGTGAGATGCTCTCTTAGGGTTCTTACAAAGTCATGAATCCTATTCATGAAGTCTCTGTCCTGTTAACCTTGTCTAATCCCAGGTATCTCCCAAAGAATCTATATCTGAATGTTAGAAAATAAAGTTTAAATACTGGGCCTGAATCTGGGGCTAGATGAGCATTAGGTGTGTATTCCCTGAGCCCTCCTTGTGGGGAAAGTCAGCTACCATGTTGGGAGTAGCCCTCTGAAAAGGCCCACATAGCAAGCAACTGCTGTCTCTGGCCATCAGCTGGTGAGGATCGCGGGCCTGCCAGCAGTGAGTTTGGAAGTGGATTCTCCTCCAGCTGAGCCTTGTGATGACTGTGGGGCTGACTGGCAATTGATTGCAGTTGTGAGGCCTGGAACCAGAGGACTAAGCGGAGCGTATCGCCCTGAAACTGAAATAATGATGGAAAGAAGTTTGAGGATAATTTTTTTACACAACAATATATAACTAGTATACCTGTCAAGGTTACAGAGCTTTCCTGTAAAAAAAAAAA